CTTTTGCTGCCAGACATTACGTTTAGACTCACGTCATATACTACTTATAAGTAGCTCGCACCACAATACTAGTAGGCTAATGCACATTAATCAACAGTGCCCAAGAAAGAATTTATCCAGGACAAATAAAATACTATATTATTGGATCCAACCAAGCTATTCAACTGCATCATTTAACCCAATGTGGGTTGTTCACTATTACTGATAGTTCTAACAGTGATCTTAATGTTTATTTTGGGGTCAATCTTGATATGAAATACAATGATTGATGAGATGACGAATAATTTGATAACAATAACCTTGAGCAATGACTCTATTACCATTACAAGTTCAAGTTCAAACATGGTCACTGTCACAGTTGAATAATTTTTGGCCAGTTTGTTTTTAGGAGCATTTCCGGAATAAAGAGAATTCAAGCAGGCAACCAACCTTTCACTATTTTTCTATACGTCATTTCCAGTTCGATCGGAATCAGATAACGTTTTGTAAAGTCAATATTGCTGTAAAAGTAATTGAATAGTTAGTTGTATGTAAAGAGAAATACCAGTCATTCAAAAAAGAGGTAACGCTCATAATTTTATAATGCCGTTTTGTACAAAATTTCATTGAAATCCAGTTGTTCAGATTTTGCTGTATATTCAAAGGAGGATAAATGGATACTCGAATGTGTAATTCGTGAGAACGTACACTACAACCATGAATACACATCTTTAGCTTTACACAATAGTTCATAGATACGAAAACTAATAGAATAAGGGTTGGAATTCGGCAGGAATTTACTAATTTCAGATCTTCTTGCATTTAAATTAACTTTACACATTTTTTTTGAAACCATGAATCGATCAATGTTAGACCACCATTAGAAAGCTGGAAGCACTGGACGGCCGTTTCGTTCTGGTATGGGACTCATCAGTGGCAGTGCGCATCCACGACTCCTGCACCCCGCAGGATTCGAACCCAGGACCTTCGGTATTGTGCGCGAGCGCCCTAACTTTACTCATCATTTTAGAAGCATGTATGCTCATGGTACGTGTTCAATTTAAGGCATAAAACATTTCGTCATGTTATTCTGCCAGATGGCTTATATACATACATGTTAGCGAATAAAATGAAGTTACCGAAAGCTCAGAAGTCATATAATTTCGTTGAGAGGATGCTGTGAATATTGACTGGATGTAGATAATGAATTACAATATTGTTTCCTTACACATGTAATTTTCAGACTATTTTCTTTTTAATCTCACCCGAATAATTTTGTAATCAATGGAATGTATTCTGTTTCTAAATAGTAAAGCATGCATACATTCAGCAGTCAATGAAGACAGTTTAGATTGTAAGTGATTCAATTGACCTGCTAACTAGATTCTCTAATAATAACTTTTTTTTAAAAATTGGTCTATAGGTTTACCGTTTTATAAATGTATAATGAAATGTTTTCTTAAGGTACGGTTTTACAATCTGCCTGGACAATTTGAAATATTTTATTGTAGGGGATGTTAAATCCCCAGAATTCGCTTGATAAATGTCTTAATTTTAGATTTTATTCATGGGCTGACCAGTTGACCTTAAAATCATATTCCCCACCAGGAAAATCTTTGTCTATGATTGGTCACCGTGTTATTTTAGTATGCAATTTTCGTGACTCTCCCAAGGTCGTTTCTATGATGTATAAATAGATGAGATTTGTGTGCTTGAGATCATTGTGCTTGCTGGGTACTTGTAGAATACATTTCCTATGCCATATCAAGACTTTTTCTTCAGTTGGTTGGGGCAACGGATCAGAGTAGCCTACCGTGTCACTGGGTCATTGTCTCATTCTTGTTAATCAACTAAGGTGAACTTGTAATCGTTTCAAGCATATCAATCTGACGAGCATAGCAATTATAGACTACTTTGTGTGTAGTTATTTGCTTGACTATTATTGTAAACAATAGTAAACAATATTACTTTGAGTTATATCATATCTGATTTTCTATTATCCAAGTGCTACTATCAAGTATAATGTACCTTGTTATTTGCAACAAGAGTTGAAATTAGTAACTTCGTGACGAAATTCAACCCTGATTCTGCTAGCTTTTGTATCCATGAACGGTTTGTCAAGATTCTTTGATTCACCGTTGGAAATAAACAGTATCATAACTCATAGCATCCTCTCAGCGAAAATAAATCACTTCTGAGCTTTCCGCTAATTCAATTTTATTCACTAACATAAAGTAACCTGACGAAATGTCTTATTCTCTAAATGGAACACGTACTGTGATCACTGATGCTTCCAAGATGAAGAGTAAACATAATGTACCTCGTTCAGTGTAACAAGACTTGAAATTAGTAAACGTCCAGACAGACAGACAGATTCACGTCAGCACAGAGACGAAACTGTCAGTTCAAATCCAAGAGTGATAGCGATAGTAGAAGTATTAGCAGTAATGGAGAAGATTACGGTTCGAAGATATGATTCGAGAAGTATAATTCAGTGAGATAAATTAAGAGAAAGACAGAGATGATGAGGAATTCAGAAGGTTAGAATTTGAGAGAACGCAATAAATGAATGCACCTGCGCCATTGCAAACGATTCTGAGCCATGTTATTCAAGGTCTCTAACCATCGGTGACTTTCGTCTCGCCGACCCCAACCAGGTAGCCCACATTTACCAACATGACTCAGTCCACTTGTCAGTGACTTAGTCATGTTGGTAGTAAACGTCCAACGAAATCCAACCCTTATTGTATCAGCCTTCGTATCCATGAACAATCACGAAAAGTCAAAGGGGTGCATTCATGGTCGTAGTGTACATTCTCACGAATTACACTCCATTATTCATTTATCCTCCTTGGAATATACAGCAAAATCCGAACAATTGGATTTCAATGAGGCTTCACAGGAAACAGCGCATTCAACAGAAAACTAACTTACACACTGGTAGTTATTTCCATAACTAATTTTAGTTAATGTCATAACTAACCAATCAAATTGTAGTTTAAGCGTTCATCACGTGATCTGATCTGACGTGTCTGTAAACTTTCTTTTTTTTGTAAATGACCTACAAATTAAAGGACATTATTATCTTATTATTGTTGATATGACTCATAATTTTATTTATTTCCATAAGACATGCTATATTAGTCGAAACAGATCAAGTTTAAAGCAAAATTTGGTCTTGTTTTTGACTATAGCTTTCTCATAGACTCTGTGCTCACCAATATTGCGTTTACAGTTAGTTCTAAAAGTACATCTGTAGAACAAAAAAATAAATCCTACACACACAATCCCATCTTTAATGGCTACTGAATAATTCTACTATCGCCTGTCACTCTTGGATTTGAACTGACAGTTACGTCTCTCTGTGCTGACGTGATATGGCAACCTGAACTGATGGTACTTATGTACGAAGTTCTGCGTTGAATCTGTCTGTTTTTGTTATTGGCATTGGTTTGTGGTCATTTTTAAAGGTAGCTTGACTTGTATAATCCGATTATTACAAAATAAAGTGTATATTGAATGTGTCGGGTGCAACAAGATTTGTTAACCTTAGTTTTTTTTAAAAAAACAATTTCATAATCGTCGAAATTTCCATGCAGAATCACATCCATCCATCCAGCTTTCATGTTTTCGAATCTGATGGTTTCTAATCGTTACTGTGCCTAGTCATTATATAAATTATTAAGACTCGTGGAACCCCGACTCGGGTGCAGTGACGCCACAAGTAAACCGAATATAGAGATTTCAAGTCTTGTGCTCAGCATAAACTTTCTATCTCAGTAATTAAATATGATTTGAAATTGTGTCGCAGTCATTTTTTCTTTGTACGAGTTGAATATGCATTATGTACTCGGTACTTTTCATCAGTCCTACAGCTTACAACTTCAAATTCTATCAAATTCAGACAGATTCCACTATAATGATTACAATACTGTTAGGTCCAATCGTTTATATTTCTTATTAGTAAATGTCCAACGGAATACAACCCTGAATCTGTTAGCTTTCGTACACATGGGCTATTGTGAATAACCAGAGTTACATTCATGTGGTTGCAGTGTACATTCTCACGAATTACACATTCGACTACCTATTTATCCTCCTTGGAATATACAACAGAAAAGCTAGACAACTGGATTTCAATGAAACTTCATACGAAACGGTGCATTCTTCATCATAAAACTATCCTACACACATAATTCCATCTTTAATAGCGGGCGAATTGAAATCATTATCCACAATAGGATATGTAGTACCACCAAACAAACACAGGCATTATTTAATAACTACAATAGTACACACAATAAATTGATTATATATATATATATGCACAGAGCAAAGCAGTTTCAATTCAAAGCAAAAGTATCAATAATAATGAACAAAACAAAACGAAAAGGAAAAAAAAAGGAAAAAAAAGAAGACATGAAATGAAATTAAAATGAACACTACCATCCAATAAACATGTACACATACAAACAATCGACCACCTGAGAGTGATTTCCAATCAATTTCAACGACTCAATGATGATGTTGATGATGATGACGAATAGCAGTAATAATAATAATAATGAGTAGTAATCACAAATTTTACAACATTTACAAATGAGAATCAATCAATCAATAAGAAGCAGAAGAGGAATGAAGCCAGTAAGAAATGACAATGACAAAGATGAAATATAAATCGATCTTTTCTCGTTCTTTGTTTTATACAAAAAAAAATTCAATTCAAAACACAGAAATTGCATCATATTAAATACACGAACGAATAATTTTTAAGCCTTTTACAATTGGAAGAAGAATACAAGAGAAGGTGTCAAAAACAGAAATTGAGAAGAATAGAATGTTAGATAGAAAAATAATAATAATAATAATAATTTATAAACACTTTGACTAGGTGTATGGCATAGATTATTGTTGCTGTTTTTTAATATGTAAGCCAACAAGCAAAACAGGACAACATATAAGAGATGATGAGTATTAGGGGATTTTGGACAAGCACATGTACACATAAGCATATACATATATATTTATATATATATATATATGGGTAAGAAAGCATAAAAAATCTTGAATATTATTTGAGAAAATAGAAACAATCTTTAAATTGTGTTCATATCATTTATGATTGGCTAGTATCTTTATTATTTTGATGAGTATTATTAAGACTATTATCACTATCAACAATGACTTCATTGTTATTATCGGTTGTACTAGTAGTAGTAGTAGTTGGTGTGCTACTGTTATCTATACTATCAATAGTACTACCAGTAGTACTAGCTGGAGTAGGAGTAGGAGTACTACTAGTAGTAGTCGTCGTTGTTGTAGGAGCAGCAGCAGCAGTGGTATTCGTTGTTACAACAGGAATTCTTGGCATATTGTCATTTTCATCAACTTCGACATCACTAATTGTATTTACAGTAAATTTATTCTTTACAATGATTGAACCATTATTTAATTCCAATGGTTTAGAACTAGTTTTACGACGTTTCGGTTTTGTACCATCTTTACGTCGTGACGGGATATTACGTAAAGATGATGTGAGATCATTTGTTGACAGGGAATCACCAGTAATAGTACTACTAGTACTAGTAGTAGTAGTATCTTGATTAAAACTTGATTCCAATGTTGGAATACTACTACTATCAATATTGACATTTGGTTCTGTTAATGATGAAAATATGCTTGATTCTAATTGACTGCTTCTTCTTTGTTGATCTATATCATCTGGTTCATTATCGTAATCACCGTCATCTTGTTGATAATCTTCTTCTTCCTCTTCCTCTTCTTCTTCTTCTTCTTCTTCAACAACTGGTTCCAAGACTGGACCTTCTTTTACTTCTAAAACCTTGAACAAGTTAAATAATTCAAATGTAGGTGAGTGAGCGCGCGCGAGCGAGAGAAAACACATACACACACGTACATAATAACACAACCCAAATAGTTTTAATACAAGTTGTACACTTAAATAAATATTATTTTTACCAAGTCAACTATTTATTTTAGGTCATATGTAACTTGTAGAACACATCCTAATCGAGTGAACTGTTCAATGCTGTTTACTAAACACCGTTCAGTAAGTAATACGCATACAAACAATATGATTAGATTGAGATAACTAGAAAATATAATGCTCTTTTATTCATTAGTCCAGGTGGAATTCTATCGATCTGATTGCTTGATGTGTTATAATTCTCTTTTTATTATACAACCCAACTATTCTTAATGCTTAGTATTCTCGAACACTAATTCACTCGAGATGTTCTCCCCAAAATCAGAACACAGTTGAACAGGAAGTAGAGATTATATACCAATAGCAAGGTTAGAAGGGAGACAGAGGGTATAAGGGAAAAAGATGTTAGTACATTCATAGTTTTCTTACATGATAAGATTCTAGAATATTCCCTCAGTATCAGCTAGCGCTGATTGGATACGAAAGAGTCAATCAGCATGCAACAACGTAATCATGCTTTAATCCAATCTATGTCCCACTAACAGTTGATTACTAGTTTAAGTAACTCGATATGATAATCCCTATTGTTTGATAAGAAGATAACTGATTGAAAACAATAAGAAACCCTGGGGCATAGATATTGTGCTTGCAAATACTTATCAGTGTTACATCGGTGTCTACAATTTATTCAGTTAACAATCATATTTTTCAGATATTCAGACTACTGTCGATATTTTTTTTAACTAAAACGTAGATCATTTAACGCGGAAATTTATGCTGCTATCAATATCACATTATGAAATACGATGATAGATTCTGGACGTTCCCATGAAGAAGATATACTTTGTTCCAAGTGAACATTGATTTTATTATATATACACTTTACTACAAAATTTACCAATATCAACTTTAGTGTCGGTTGGTTGACTTATACACTAACTACTGAATTACCATTAGTTGGATTGAAATATTTTTTTGCCCAACTTCAAGAATTATTACTTATGGCAAACAGGTACTCTCACATACTTTCGTCGCCATACTAGACTTCTTCAACCTAATCTGTCTTAGGCCTTCCTTTCTATTTTTATAAAAACTTACTTACTTACTTACTTACGCCTGTTACCCTCAATGCAGCATAGGCCGCCACCCACCAGTTTTCTCCAACCAACTCTGTCCTGGGCTTCCCTCTCCAGTTCTGTCCAATGTTTGTTCATTCCTCTCATATCTTTCTCTATTTCTCGGCCTAATGTATTCTTTGGCCTTCCTCTTTTCCTTTTGCCTTCAGGGTTCCATGTGAGGTCTTGTCTCGTGACGCAGTTAGGTGCTTTCCGCAATGTGTGTCCTATCCACTTCCACCACTTCTTCCTGATTTCCTCCTCCACTGAAGGAATCTGGTTTGTTCTCTCCCACAGTTCGTTGTTGCTGATGGTGTCTGGCCAACGAATACGAAGTATTTTGCGTAGACAACTGTTAATAAATATTTGTATCTTCTGGATGATGGCTTTGGTAGTTCTCCAAGTTTCCGCTCCATACATTAGAACTGTCTTAACATTTGTATTGAAAATCCTTATTTTGGTGTTGATTGATATCTGTTTGGAGTTGCAGATATTTTTCAACTGTAGAAATGCAGCCCTTGCTTTGCCAATCCGTGCCCTCACATCTGCATCGGATCCACCTTGATTGTCGATGATGCTGCCCATATATGTAAAGGTGTTAATGTCCTCCAAGGCATCTCCATCAAGAGTGATTTGATTGGTGCATGTTGTGTTGCATCGGAGAATTTTGCTTTTTCCTTTATGTATGTTGAGACCTACTGCTGCAGAGGCTGCTGCTACACTGGTCGTCTTCTCTTGCATTTGTTGTTGCGTGTGAGATAGAAGAGGCAGATCATCTGCGAAGTCCAGATCGTCCAGTTTATAAAAACTAATTAGAAAATATTGACTAACAAAATTCTAAATTGTTTCAAACTGAATTTTCATATGATTCAATAGACTAGTATCACAAATTTAGTGAAGGGCACATATAGTCAGTCAGTCAGATGCAACGTACAACTTCGTACGTAAGTACATCAGTTCATGTTGCCATACCACATCAGCACACAGAGATGTAATTGTCAATTCAAATCCCAATAGTAGTAGAGGTAGTAAAGGTATTAGAAGTAATCGGAGAGGTTAGGATTAGAAGATATTATTCAAGAAGTATAATTCAGTGAGAAAAGTTTAGAAAGTCAAAACTAGAGGTGTTGAAGAATCCAGAAGATTAGGATTTGAGAGAACACAAAGAATAAATGCACCGGCGTCATTGCAAACGGTTTTCAGCCATGTCATTCAGGGTCTCTAACCAGGTAGTCGGCAATTACCGACATGACTCAGTCCACTTGTAAACGGCAAATATACTACTGATATAAGACATAAGCAATTGAATGCCACACAACAATAAACATTAAATATACACATTCTAACTGTAACTTTCTAAAAACGAATAAGAACGGTATTTCAAAACTGACTAATAACAACAACAGCAATAAAAAAAATAAACTTTTACTTACTTCAACAGATTGAGATGCCAGTGATAATGGTACCAAAGGCGTAGGCAATACACCACCAACAATATTACTTACTACAGGAACAGAATTCGTAACAACAGGCAATGCCATAGGTATTGTTGTTGTTGTTGTTGTTGTACCACTAGAAATATTCACAGAAGTATCTAATGTTTGACTACTATCAAACGATCCAGGAACAACAACAACAGCACCACTACTACTACTAATTCCAGCTAATGTCAATGTTGGCGCTACTGTTGTTGAAGATGAAGAAATCAGTGGACAACAATTTACTGAAGATTGAGCTATAATAATAGATGGTGATAATTGACCAGTGGTGGTAACAGTTGACATTGGTTTCAATGCATCAATCATTGTCAGCGAGGTTGAAGAAGGCATGACGATTGTTTGAGTTGTTGCGTAATTACTACTACTACTACCACCAACATCAACCATATCAATACGTCGACCAATAGAAATTGAATCCACTGGTCGTGAATTATAATTCACATCTGGTGATTGATATTCACCACTAACTAACATACCAGAAAGGTGTTGCTGTTGCTGTGCAACATAATAGTCAGGATCAGTTGTAGGCAAAGTTGATGAATTCGTGTTACATTCATAACCGTAATTTGTATGATCCACGTGATTTGGCATGATTAATTCATTCGCAGTCGGATTATATGATGATGATGATGATGGTGGTGGTATCATGATTGATTTATTAGACAATTCACGTTTTGATAACCAACGTAATGGACAACCAAGAAGACAAGAGGCAAGCAATACAGTAGCAGAGAATAAAAACGCCACACAGGAAGCATTATGCACTGGACCATTATACATTGTGGAAATACTGAATTCAGGTGTTTTAGCTATTTGTACATCTCTTAAATAACCTATAGAAATACAAATAAAATTAATTAGTTGTTAGTCAAGCACTGGAACCGGATAAACATACAACTGTCATATTTGTCTTTATTATACAATAATATATACTACTGATATCAGTAGCATTGATTTGTGTTGGCTTGTCTTCTAGGCATTCTCAATAAAGGGAACTAGGAATAGACAGACAGATACAACGCAGAACTTCGTATGTAAGTACATCAGTTCACGTTGTCATACCACATCAGCACAGAGACGCAACTGTCAGTTCAAATCCAACAGTGATAGCAATAATAGAAGTATTAGCAGTAATGGAGAAAATTAGGGAGCAAAGATATGATTCGAGAAGTATATATAATTCAGTAAGATAAATTTAGAAGGAGAAAGGTAGAGATTATGAGGAATGCAGAAGATTAGAATTCGAGAGGACACAATGAAGGAATGCACCTACGCCATTGTAAACGATTCTGATCCATGTCGTTCAAAGTCTCTAACCATTGGTGACTATCGTCTCGCGGACCCCAACCAAGTAGCCTACATCTACCAACATGACTCAGTTCACTTGTTGTCAGTGACTTCATGGATTTCTGCCATGTTTTGGTTTGGCCGCCCCTAGAGGAACTAGGAATAAATAAGGATTTTTCACTGAATAACTAACTACTTTTGACCACATACATCAGCTGACCTATTGATTATTGATTGGCATAATCATCCATGACTTTAGTAGTGTTATGCTCGTCACCTTCTAAGCTTGAAACTATTACGGGTTCACCTTAGTCGATAAACGAGAACGAGATAATTAACCAGTGACACGGTAGGCTACTCTGATCCGTTGACCCAAAAGAAATAACGAAAAAGTCTTGATAAAGCGTAGAAACTGTATTCCACAAACATCCAGCAAGCACAATGATCTCTAGCACATAAATCGCATCTATTTATATATCATAGAAACGAACTTGGAAGAGTCACAAAAATAGCATGCTAAAATAACACAGTAACCAATCATAGCCAAGGTTTTTCTGGTGAGAGATCTCAAGGTTAACTGATCAGCCCATGGGGATCTAACGTCTCCCAACAAGTAGTCAACTAATACATCACATAAAACGATGTTAAATATTTTTGAACAAGTGAGAAGTTGTGGTGTCGCACAAATAATAACCTCACCTTACCTACCTCGATCCGCGTGGTAGAATAGCAGTCATTAGCTTCTACACAGTTTCGCTGTAGCTCAAGGTTGAGTACGTACAAAATAAAAACTATCATCAATGTGACATTCAACTTAGAGTCAATACGGATGGTTCCTAATAACGTCACCGGAGGAAAACATCTCTTCACTTGAATAACAGTTTTTTTTTCCATGCTTCTGTATAAGAATGTTTGACGCGTCACAGCATCGTTTCTTGTGTAGGTTGTTTCACAACTACAGTACATTTTAACACTGAATCGCATGATCAAATTACTCACTCATAAAGGTTAAGGAAGTTTTATATGTATTATTACTAAATTTGATTACACTGTAAAACAGTGCAAACCTTACGATTTAATAAACAAAGGTGAACTTTCTAAATGAATAAAATTAGAAAGCGAAATTCACAACACTATGCTGCTTTCACAAAACAATCAATTATGATTCCTTTTACTTATTCTTGAAAAATTCATGACCTTATCCTGCATACTGAAGAGTATAACATACCACTAGAATGAGAAAGCTGTTTAATGTCTTGCGATTTCCAATATGTGTTTGCTCATTTAGCGTCATCCATGCGTGATGTAAACCTACAACATGCCATCATGTTAGAATATTAAAAAGTTTTGTAAGAAATCTACTTACTATTTATGTATCTAAAACTCTGAACAAACGGTAATCAATTCATTATTTTCAATAGACGTTTTTCACCAAAAGAATCAATAATCTGATCCGACTGAGAGTCGTTTGCAATGGCGCAAGTGCATCCATTCTTTGAGCTCTATCAAATCCTAATCTTCTGGATTCGTCAACACCTCTACCTTTGTCTTTCTAACCTTATTTCACTTAATTATACTTCTTGAATAATATCTTCAAACCCTAGTCTTCTTCATAACCATTAATACCTCTACTATCTATATCACTCTATGTGATTTGATTTGACATTTGCGTCTCTGTGCTAATGTGGTATGACAACATGAACTTATGTACATACGGTAATCAATTCATTATTTTCAATAGACGTTTTTCACCAAAAGAATCAATAATCCAATCCGAGTGAAAGTCACACATAATAACTCTTGTAATTTACAAACGTATTGTGATAATACACTACTCTGTGCGGTCGAGAAAAAAATAAATATGATGTAAAAAGTTCAAATTATTGATGAATGTTTGTTTCAATGACTAACTAATCGAAGTGTAGCATTGAGTTACAACAATTCCAAGTGTACTACTACTACCACTACTAAAAAAAAGCTCACCTGCAATTGGTGGACCGATTGCAGCTGCACAACCTTGAAATAGAAGTAGATAGCCAAATGCATTAGTTAAACGATCCACACCAATTAATTCTACAACTAGGATACTTTTCAACGAGACGAATACAGCTAATTATTTGTTTGTTTGATTTAAAGGAGAAAGAGAAAAACGGGGAGAAAAATCAATGCATCATCATATTTAATTGATGTACTTTTATTCATTGCAAACTACGTTGTTAAGCAGGTAAACATTATGAATACAGATTATTCAGTCAAAATTTAAAAGAAAAAGATTTAATTTATTGTTTATTTGTCAATATTAGAGAAGAGAGGTACGTGTGGGTGTAGGAAGGATTTGATTTCGACCAATTTGGTCTCTCGTGTGCTGTTACGGGTACGAGGGCGGTTGTCACTTCTGGATGCCCACACCGTGGAAGGATGTTTCTTGAGGGACCTGAAAAGGAAGAAAGATTAGTGTTGGTCTTGGAGACCTGGGAGCGTGACCACCGAGTCCAAGGAACAACTGCTTGAGGCCGGTCACGCATGGCCTTTTTATGAAAGGTTTTTTTAAGTATTAGCTCCGCTCTTAAAGGCCCTTGGTGGGCACCCTTACCCAAGGAGACGGAAATCCGTGAGGCAAGGTGAGGTGTGACATCTTTAGGGCCGACCTTTTCTGACCCTTCCTTCCTTGTGAGAAGGCAGCATCGCTGCAGCTGCTGGTTATCCGAGGGAGAGACCTTACTGCTGTCACACCCCTCTTCAGTCAGTCAGCAGTACGACTTCGCCCTCAGAGCTGGAGTAGCTGCTTTTAGTCTCATCGTTCTCCAATCGACCTGCCTGGAATGGTAGAACCTTCAGGAACATATGTTCCAGCCAATATAGCTGAGTTGGGTCATCACGATAGACAAGCCCGACCACCATGTCAAGGTAGCAGCTACGTTGCATCTGACTGACTGACTGACTGTCAATATTAATAATAGTTTCATGTATCGTCAATATCGAGTCAGTTCGAAATAATACAAAGGCCCTAATTTCTACAAATTTGATTTCAGCAACGATGGATATGTGTCTTTTTTATATTAAATACGTAACATCAGAGAGTAGATCGAGTACTCTGAATTTCCATTCAAATTACACCACTCCATGTTAAACATCAATAAGTTGTAATCTTAGATTTATAATATTGAAAAGAATTACTAGACCATCGCTCTTAAACAACAGACAAGAGCTGAACGATTTAATTTTAAGAAAAATCGAAACTAATAAGCAGTTACTAAGCGAAGGGATTAGTCAACCTGACAAATAAAGTTTCATAAAGACAAACACACTGTTTTTAAGTGTATTAAAAAAAACCATGTAGAGGGTGCAAGCCTATGCTGAATGCAATGAAAGATGGAGGTGCACAATACGCAGGGCTGGTTGCAAGCATGAATGTACCAATGGATGCCTGCTCAATGGTGTTGAGGTTAGGCTTTCGTGGATTTGGTTACCAATAGAGTAGTGAGAGCAGCGCACTATCAAGAAGCCCTTATCACAGCGAAGCAGTTTTCCGTCGGATCTTGATTTTCAATAGTTGTCCACAATCAATCAGTTTTGTAACCTATCAATATTTTCATGACAGATTGTGTTAGTGGGACATAGATGAAATTAAAACATGATTACGTCACTGCGCGCTGATTGGCTAATTTCCTACCCAATCAGCGCCTGATCGAAGCTTGGAGAACAGGATAGAAAATTCTCGTATTATTAGCTGCATGCTGATTGGTCAAATCCAGTCCAGTCGATCACGTGAATTTCCTTCCAGAAGTTTTCTCATGTAAAGGCTATAAATAGGCTAGCATTGTATTTATCTTTGCCTTCTAGCCTTCAAGCCTTCTTCGCTTTCAAGCCTTTTTGCCTTGGCTTTCGCCATCACCTCCAGCTTCTTTTCCTTGCTATTTTGGAATACAATCCTTCCTGTTCAACCGTGTTTTGATTTGTGTTACTTGTCCAGTGTTTTGTGTCAAGAATACTAAGCAATAAGATTTAGCCGGGAAATATCGTAAGCAACCGTTACAACAGTGGCGACGGAGAAAAAGAAAAAAAATTTCAAGATGCCTATTTCAGATGATCAGCTTAACCGAATACTACAACAACAGCAAGCACAATTAGATGCACAAATGCGGTTGTTGGAGACCCTAACTCAACAGCTCAACATCCAGTGCTCGAGTCCACATACTATTTTAAATACGTCTTGTGAAGCAGTGGCAAACAGCATACCAGAATTCGTCTATAATCCTGAATGTGGAAATACTTTTCTGACGTGGTTCAAACGTTGGGAAGATACATTTAGAATTGAATTCGGTAAACAAGATGATGCATGGAAGACTCGGTTGTTGCTGCGTAAGTTGGGAAGCAATGAGTATGAACGTTACGCTGACCACGTATTACCGAAGTTACCTCGAGAGCTCAGTTTCGAGGAGACAGTAACTCAGCTGTCAGATATTTTCGGCGAATCAGCATCATTGTTTAGTATTAGATATCATTGTCTAAATCTGGTGAAACACGAAGATGATGAATATGCGGTTCTTGCAGACGTCGTCAACAGAGAATGTGAACGGTTCAAGTTACGCTCGTTGACGGAAGACCAATTTAAATGCTTAATATTCATCAAAGCTCTTCAGTCACCGCAAGATGCGGAAACCAGAACTAGACTTTTGATTCGAATGGACCAAGACCCTAACGTCACACTCAGAACATTGACAGATGAGTGTAAACGCCTACAAAGTATCAGGCACGACAACATGTTGATTGAACAGGTAAATCACAATTTAACCAGCAGTAGTGTCAATGCTATTACTAGGTTAAAAGTCCAGAAGCCGATAGCATCTCGTAACAAACCAACGACGGCATGTTGGTTATGTGGTGATTGGCACTACGTACGATTTTGTCCATTTAAAAAACATAAATGTCAGATGTGCCATAAACGTGGACATAAAGAAGGCCATTGTCAACCAAATCGTACGTCTCAGCCCAAGAAGAAGCGCAAACGTACTCGACATGTGGTGAAATCAGCCGAGTCTAAATCACTTTCTCTCGTAGCTGCTTTTCAAACAGAATATGACGTTCGGAGAAAGTATGTTACTATCCAGATGAACGGTGCATCAGCTCGTTTCCAAATCGACACGGCATCAGATATCACCTTAATGTCTAGAGAAACGTACAACATGCTGGGAAAACCGCCAATGAAGCCATCTAAGAAAACAGCTAAAAGCGCTTCAGGTGGTGTGTTAAAACTGGTTGGTGAGATACACTGTGAATTTTCCTTCAACGGAACAAAATGTACAGGAATATGCTATCTGACAGAACGGCCAAACCTTGATCTTCTTGGTCTAGATATGCTAGAAAAACTGGGAATAATGGATGTACCCATTAATAGTGTCTGCAACATATCGTGTTCATCATTGGATACCCCGATACTTAAAAAGAAGACAGGTGAAAGATTACGTGAAAAACTGAAGGAAAAGTTTGCCTCTGTTTTTCAGAATAACCTTGGCCTCTGTACCAAGATGAAAGCTCACTTACCATTGAAATCAGATGCGAAACCTATTTTTCGTCCTAGACGTCCTGTACCATATGCCACTCTTGAGCTAGTCGATCAGGAACTTAATCGCTTACAACAGGCTGGGGTAATCCAACCAGTCAACTACTCTTCATGGGCCGCACCGATCGTAGTGATTAAGAAAGCTAATGGAACTATACGCATTTGTGCCGATTTCTCAACTGGTTTAAATGCTGCATTGGATGTGTATCAGTATCCGTTACCAGTTCCTGAAGATCTGTTTGCCAAGCTTAATGGTGGTACATGTTTCGCGAAAATAGACTTTTCCGATGCCTATCTACAAGTAGAAGTAGATGAAGATAGTAGAGAGCTCCTGACTATTAACACCCATCGAGGGCTATTTCAATACACTCGTCTACCATTTGGCATCAAGACCGCACCGGCTATCTTTCAGCAAATAATGGATACGATGCTAACAGGTATACCTGGGACAGCAGCTTATCTAGATGATATCATAGTTATGGGTTCAAGTGACAGTGAACTGTCAGATCGACTACATCAAGTCCTTAACCGAGTGTTGGAGTATGGTTTCCAACTACGTGAAGAAAAGTGTATCTTCTTCATGCATTCGATCAAATACCTTGGTTTCATCTTAGATAAGAACGGTCGCCGACCAGACCCAGCCAACATCGAAGCCATTCAGAAGATGCCTGCACCAACTGATGTCTCTTCATTAAGATCTTTCTTGGGGTTAATCAGTCATTACAGCGCATTCCTGCCTGAAATGCATCGAGTGAGAGGTCCTTTGAATGAATTACTATCAAAAGATAAACCTTGGCAGTGGTCAGCAGAATGTCAAGCATCTTTCGATAAAGTCAAGTCGATGCTCAGCTCAAAGCTTCTTTTGACACACTTCGACCCCAGCTTGGGAATTGTTGTTGCATCTGACGCCTCTAGTTATGGAGTTGGAGCAGTAATATCTCATGTGTTTCCGGATAAATCAGAGAAAACAATTGCCCATGCTGCCAGATCTCTCACCCCAGCCGAGCGAAATTACAGTCAAATTGAGAAAGAAGCTCTTGCAATTATTTTCGCTGTCAAAAGATTTCATAAAATGCTCTATGGTCGTAAGTTTACGCTACTGACAGATCACAAACCTTTGATTGCAATCTTTGGTTCTAAGAAAGGAATCCCTGTCTATACGGCTAATAGATTACAGCGCTGGGCAACGATGCTCCTGAGTTATGATTTCAATATCAAGTATCAGTCGACAAATACTATCGGTCAAGCGGACGCTCTCTCTCGATTAATTGGAGTTCAGCATCCTGAACCAGAGGACATAATCATTGCCTCAACAGCAGTAGACCCAGAAATAAGGAGTGTAGTAGCAGACGCCATTCGAAACACTCCAGTGTCGTCAGAGGAAGTCAGAGAAGAAACTCTTCGAGACCCACTTCTACAAGAAGTTAGAAAGTTTCACCTGGAAGGTTGGCCTTCGAAGATCAACTCTTCAGAGCTTCAACAGTTTTACCAGCGTAGACTCTCTCTTTCAACCATCGACGACTGCCTGCTGTTTGCCGAACGAGTCATAATTCCAGCGAAGCTACAACCAGCAGTGCTAAAACAGTTGCACGTGGGACATCCTGGAATAAATCGCATGAAAGCACTAGCACGAAGTTATGTATACTGGCCGCACTTAGACACCCAGCTAGAGCAGCTATCCCGTTCGTGTACCAAATGTGCATTAGCAGCAAAAGCACCGCGCAAAGCAGAGTTGCAATCATGGCCAATACCACAGTCACCGTGGCAGCGTATACATTTGGACTTTGCTGGCCCACTTCATGGACAAACTTACCTTCTGGTAGTTGATGCATACAGTAAGTGGCCAGAAATTTTCTTGATGAAACACCCAACTGCAAGCTGTACAGTCAGTAAATTACGTAAACTATTCAGTCGTTTCGGAGTCCCGGAATTGATAGTTACTGACAACGGGACACAGTTTACGTCCGCAGTCTTCTCGCAATTCTGCCGGCAGAACGGAATCTATCACATCCGAACACCTCCATTCCATCCGCAATCAAATGGTCAAGTAGAACGCTTTGTGAGCACATTTAAAAATGCCCTAAAAAAATCCAAAGGGGAAGGGACCACCGAAGAGATCTTAGAGAGGTTCCTGCTTATTTATCGCTCTACACCGAACCCTCAGACGATTGACGGAGTCTCACCTGCGGAAGCTCTACTTGGTAGAAAATTACGAACACATTTTGATGTCATCCGTCCTACACCAGCTCTTGAGCCTCGGCGAAACCTGTCGATGGAGAAGCAGTTCAATCGACACCATGGGGCAAAAAGACGATCGTTCACAGTGGGCCAGAAAGTACTTGCTATGGACTATCGTGAAAAACATCCTGCGTGGACAGCTGGTCGGATTTTAAAAAAGAAAGGAAATGTGACTTATGAGGTGTCAGTTGGCTCAGAAGTTTGGGTAGGTCATGCTAACCAACTGAAAGCAACTTCGATAGCCAGCAACGGGACTCGGCACAGAATACCCCTCGACGTTCTGCTAGACACCTTCAAAATCAAAACGCCTGGAACACACAAGTCAGTTTCTGTGCAAGCAAAGAGTGACACAACTTCCTTATTGCCGAGAAGATGGACTAATCGAAAGTACAAGCCAGTTTCTCGGTTGCAGTTGGACCCTAGCACCAGATCCTACGAATCTTCTCAAAGGGGAGGTGTTAGTGGGACATAGATGAAATTAAAACATGATTACGTCACTGCGCGCTGATTGGCTAATTTCCTACCCAATCAGCGCCTGATCGAAGCTTGGAGAACAGGATAGAAAATTCTCGTATTATTAGCTGCATGCTGATTGGTCAAATCCAGTCCAGTCGATCACGTGAATTTCCTTCCAGAAGTTTTCTCATGTAAAGGCTATAAATAGGCTAGCATTGTATTTATCTTTGCCTTCTAGCCTTCAAGCCTTCTTCGCTTTCAAGCCTTTTTGCCTTGGCTTTCGCCATCACCTCCAGCTTCTTTTCCTTGCTATTTTGGAATACAATCCTTCCTGTTCAACCGTGTTTTGATTTGTGTTACTTGTCCAGTGTTTTGTGTCAAGAATACTAAGCAATAAGATTTAGCCGGGAAATATCGTAAGCAACCGTTACAACAGATTGATTTAAGTTGGTCAAGCATTGACATAAGTTAACAAGCTCAGTTACACTGTTGCACTGCATACATCATAAAAAAAACCCATCGGGACACAACAACAAAACACAAGTGAAATTTATAAAAATATTGAAAAGGAATTCATATTCACATGTGCCAGTCTATTTTATCAACAACGATAGGTCTGCTAAGATCTATTAAACTTAACTATTATTTGATAATTCAAGCCTTATTGTGATAAACAAATCTAGGAGTAAGCAAACTATTATTATTCGTTGTTCGATAAAAGTCACCTTTAAAAAAAATTTGCGTACAAGCTAGTATATATTGTTGAAATTTATTTCCTAAATTGATCAGGAGGTTAGGCATTCGTGCGCAAAACCAAAGGTCCTGGGTTCAAATCCTGCTAATAGCAGCAGTTGTAGATGCGCACTGCCACTGATGAGTAGCATACCAGGACGAAACGGCCGTCCAGTGCTTCCAAGTTTCTAATCGTGATTTAACAATGATATTGATTGATGCTTTCAATGTGGATAAAGTAATAATGCTTTGGTATTAAAAAAAACTTTCGTCACTTTTCTATTAAACATGTTATGTGACGATTTGATTCTGATGAAATGAATTACATTCTGTTAATAGTCATAAACAATACTTGGGCTTTCATTAGACTCTAGATCAAAAAAGTATGTACAATTAAATTTTATTCCCTATAACTCAACTGTCAACAATCGAATCTCGGTATAGACATTTGAAAAAAAGAGTAAAAATAAACATGTTTTGAATAACAGTTCATTGCCTGTTGGTCATACTGTTGTGTCTCGTTCATCCTATAATCGAAACTAATTGATCTGTCAATCTCTGAATAAATAATCTACTACTGAAATATTTTGCACATTGTAATGTTCACTTATTTTTCCAATCCGTTTTTACTGCGTTAGGAATGAGCATTTTCATGGGTGACAGTGGAGATTAACAGTCAGTGTAAATAAAATGACTCTTGACGATTTCCATATACCTGGAAGCATTGATTGCAATCATAAATCGATCTATATAAAATTCCCTCCTCCAGGCTCGTGTCAACGCACTGCTAAGGAATTCCATTCCAGGAGGAGACTGCAGTCCAGCGCTACTAGGTCCTCAATGGGATTCCAACATTGGTTAGTTCATAATTTCAATGAAACACAACAATCTCTATAACCCCATACTAATCATTTCTGTATACTTGAACACACTGTTATTAACACTAGTGAGTGTAAACATATGTGTATTTTACTAATTTTTTGAAACCATGTATCGATCAATGTTAGACTACCATTAGGAACCTGAAAGCACTGGACAGTGGCCGTTTCGTTCTGATATGGGACTCCTCAGCAGTGCGTATCCACGACTCCTGCAGCCCGTAGGATTCGAACCCAGGACCTTCGGTAATGCGAACATCACTCAGAAAATATAACACTATTGACTAAATGGATGATCGTTGATACTAGCAGCACTACTATCATCAACAACAACACCAAAAACAACAACAACATCGACATCAACATACCTGAGAAAAGTCCAAAACAACATGAGGTTAAAACCAAAGCTGCATAATATCGTCTTACAATTGGTAGTATAAATACAGTTATACAAGTTAATAATAAAGAGATATTATTCATCCATAATGAATCAGCCCATTTATACATTGTAAACCAAGCTAGAGACAGTAAAAAAAAAGATAAAATAACAATAATGAATTAGATTTGAATAATACGAGTAAGAAACTACTTAAAAACAAAGGGTAGCGCTTAATTGACCGAATTTTGAAGGTGGTTAGAAGATGTGATACACATGTATAGGCAGTGACTTCCAAAACATGTAGTTATGTTGGATGTTGTGAAAACAGGTCAAGACGAGTGATAAGAACAAGCAGATCAATTCATGACATCACACCTGAGTGTTGATCTGAAACATACTGGTAGGTGCGCACATTTACGTTAGCATCATTGAGATAATGGTGACCAATGGTTGATGTAGAGTGGTATATAGTAAAATCAGTTTTATGAGCGTGCAGTTAGATTCAAAATATTTCTTAGCCTATTTCTAAAGCTAGATACCATTGTATATAAATCTTTCATTCTTTGATCTCAAGAAATCTTTGTAAATCATATCTCACATGATATGGGGTTTACATTGTAGATATTATCGCTGTTTATGAAATTTATTTCACAAATGACTAGCCCTATCGTTCCAAACTATTTCACCGACATCGATATAAAATGGTCTTGACTACAATGTGTCTCACATCGTACCAAAGGCTGGAATCGTTTAAGAGCGCAATAAGATATTAAGGAAGGTCAGTATATTGCCGTTTAGTTGTTCGTGATTCTCATTTGCATAAGAATCTGAAGCCGTACTTATAAATTTCTAAGTTGGAAAGCTAGTCACAAGAAGCAGTCTATTCGACGAAGGAAGTAACTCTCATTTTTGAAACCATAAATCGATCAATGTTAGACCACCATTAGAAACCTGGAAGCACTGGACGGCCGTTTCGTTCTGGTATGGGACAACTCAGCAATGCGCATCCACGACCCCTGCACCCCACAGGATTCGAACTCAGGACCTATGGTATTGTGCGCGAACGCCCCAACCGTTAGACCACTGAGCCGGTATCTAACGGCCTTAATGTCTAACATGATCAAATTCACGGAGTTGCGCAACCTTATACACAGTCTTCGGTAGACACTACCTACACTCAAACAGGTTGAACTTCACTGGTCACACAACTTCCCATTAGAACTCGGAGAAGATTCCTCACGAACCTAGTCACTAGTGAGCACAGGTAATTTGCATTACGGGGTTGTGAAGATTGTTAAGTTACACATTTTTGAAACCATCAATCGATCAATGTTAGACCACTTTTTATTCTCAACTACTGATCAGATCATTTAGATCTCTCGTATCCTTGAAGTTGGTGGTCTTGATGCAACATATGAAACAAATAACGATATGTTTCAGTACGAAATTGTAGCTCTGGATATGAAGTTGATGAATATACCTGTGTGTAGAGCCTGTATACATTGTTGTTAGTGTTTCTGTCATTCTTAAAGCGCTCGACTACAAATCGAAAGTTGTTCAGAGTTGTCACGGACGAAACCAGCTATGGCCACTATGATAACAGAAGTGTATACAGACTCCCTTCATATTTTATATTAAATATGAATCGAGTGCAAGCAATGCTTCGCATGAATCGATCGATGATCGAGTCAGTCACGAAGTATAAACAGAGCGCGAACAGCTGTCCAGTACACTCGTTTTTTTGTTTGGCAGATGGAGAACCTTGAGTACGCTACAGCTGAGCCAAGTTTTTAAAAGTTATACGAGCTTTGTGAATACATACTATAAAATGGTTTAATAAACTCAAAACTACGTACGTAAAAATTAAACAACTCTTAAGGCAGTTAACTACTCCTTTGTTTATTGAGTAGTATATATATTGATATCATAGTGTATGTAATTTTGCGGCATGAAGTACAAAAACTATTATTCATGCTCAAGAATAATGCAAATTGAATAAAACAAAAGGATACATATAAAGACAACAAATTCATCGCTGTTAGTTGAAAAAAAACCAATAAACAACTTAAAACCAATCTAATTGTACAAACTACAAATGAGAATAGTTAGAAGTCGTTGTTTTGTTGTTATGTCAAACACAGAAACATTTCTACATTCAACAAGAAATCATACTTACTAGATCAGTAGTAGTTATAGTCAATGAACATGAAGTAAAATATATATATGAATGAAATCGGTGAATAATTGTTCATGAAAGGTTTATTATTGAATACAAAAATACCATTATGCTCATGATCATCAATCTTGATAGAATGGATTGTATAAATGTTCGCATTACGGGGTTGTGAAGATTGTTAAGTTACACATTTTTGAAACCATGAATCAATCGATGTTAGACCACCAACATTAGAAACCTGGAAGAAGCACTGGACGGCCGTTTCGTCCTGGTATGGGACTCCTCAGCAGTGCGCATCCACAACCCCTGCACCCGGAAGGATTCGAACCCAGGACCTTCGGTATTGTGCGCGAACGCCCTAACCGTTAGACCACCATGTTCAACAATCAATTGTAATGAATAAACAAGAAATATATATATATGACCGAATAATTTAACTTAAAAACATATCAGACTACTTTTACTACTACAACATTTTCAGCTTATTAATTTTTTTAATTAGATACGATTTATGGGTTGTTGATTTTTTTTACCGCCGACTAAAAATCAATAAAAATTTATTTCAACAGTTTGCTACGCCGCTCTGATTAAATGAATAGAGTAAATTGTAGTTATTCCTATGCTAGTTCACTTCAAAATATGCCTAACAATGAAACAATGAGAAATGGAGGCAGGTTTAAGATTAGTTCATGTTGGAACAACAAACATTCATCAGTCAGTCAAACAGTCAGTTACAACGTAGAACATCGCACGTACGTATATGAATGAGTTTAAGGTGCCATAACAAATTAGCACAGAGACGCAAATGTAAATTCAAATACCGTAGTAGTAGAGGTAGTAAAAGTATGAGCATTAATCGGAGAGATTAGGGTTCGAAGATATTATTCAAGGAGTAGAATCTAGTGAGATAGACTTGAAAGGAAAAAGAAAAAAGGTGATGAGGAATTCAGAAGGTTAGGATTTGAAAGAACACGAAGAATAGATATACTATGCGCCATCGTAAAAGGGTTTTGAACCATGCTAATCAAGATCTCTAACCATCAATTATTATCATCTCGCTGGCCCCAAGTAGTTGCCTCAGTCCACTTGTCAGTGACTTCATGGATTTCTGCCATGTTTTGGTCTAGCCGCCACTAACTTTTTTCCATACTACTCCTGCACCACGAAACATAGCTCGACGAGGTAGTCGATGGTTAGACATACGTAACACATGTTCCAACTGTTCGCGGTTAATTGGAAGAGGATTAAATGTAGGCAGAAAGTTTCTGAGTAGTTATTGTGATAATTTTTAGATATAATTCATAGCTAATACCCTTTTCCTTACAATAGCATTGTTTACTCAGTTGTCCCACGATACACGAGCAATGCTTCGGAGACACCTATGATCGAAGACAAGCAACCTACGAATATCGTCTACTTTTACAGGCCATGTTTTGCATCCATATACGAGAACGGAGCGAACTACTGCGCAGTACACTCATCATTTAGTCAACAAACGGATATCTCGTTTACGCGATATGTGACACAACTTGGCAAAACCCAATCGAGCTTTTTGTATACGTGCTAAGATTTCGTCAGTCACCAGGCCATCAGCACTGATGAGACTCCCGAAATAAGTGGGGCGGTCAACACACTCGACTACTTCACTCCCTATCACTAGTTCAGGTGCCGACGCAAGCCAATCTTGAAGCAACATTTCGCATTTCGAGGGGGAAAACCGCATCCCGAACACGCTTGCATTGTTTCTCAGGGTACTAAGAAATCTGTGCATTTTGTCAGTATCCTCAGCAAATAGAACTATGTCGTCGGCTTATTCTAAGTCAGCAAGCGAGCCTCCTAGTAGAAGGTCTACTCCTGAAAAATCTGACGAGGATAATGTTAAAACTAGGAGCATATCTACGACAAAGTTAAACAAGAATAAGGAGAGTAGACATCCCTGACGGACACCACTGGAATTAATGATTTCCCATGACAGTAAACCATAAGCTCTCACTCGACAAAAGGTATTCGATTAGAGAGCTTGTATAGCGTTAATATACTTCACTAGCACACCTTTCAATGACAGACACTGTCACAGAATCTCACAAACATTCATATTATTTATCAATTAGTCAATGATGATTTATTTCATAGGGTTTTTTTTTATTTGTAGAGCAACACAATGTAAGCGAAATTTACTTTCAACCACAATAATAAAAAAAAAACAGTATCTCAAGAAATTTATCTAATATAATCCCTAGAAGCCAATAACATTATTTTTGCAAGATTGTTGAAGTAAAATAGTAGTAATCATTAATAACATCTTCTCTGGCAATTAAATATAAATTTTAAGTTTAATAAATAATTAATTTTTATTCTTTTGATACTTTGATTTTTTAAAGAAAAAAAACTGTATTTCAATTTGTAAATTTGACAGTGTATATATACAAAAGTAACTACACAATGTATAACATTAGTGTTTTTGACGTTGACAAATAACATAAATTCACACACACACACAGGGGCGCGTCAAAACACATGGAATCCAATGCATGAATTCATTTAAAAAAACCCAAACAACGAAAGATCAATTCAACAGTCAATGAGATTGCAAATACATACGTAACGATCAGAAGAACCGACAACTGATATCAGCTAGCTACATAGTTTTCATGTTGCTCAATTAAAATCAATGTCTATGAAGCGAATTCAACCAGTCTGTACAGTGTTTAGATATTCCAGTCGATCAATAAGAGGTATATGCTTGCATAGTTAATCTTCAGTGAAAGAGGAACAATAAATTTTTTAAACAATATAAATCCGTTGGATAAAGGTGTTGGGTGATTCATGATCTCGATTTATGGTAATTCATGGTGCAAAGCGATCGATCATTAATGATTATTATCCATGTAATTCATCTCACGTCAAATATCAGTGAATTACAATTCACCAATCTACTACCTTAAAAGAACTTTAAGGAAGCTATCTTTCCTAAAGTCAAACCGCTGATGTGAACAATAATTTTAGTCAGTTAAAACTTAGAACTTCGTACGAACGTAGATCAGCTCAAGTTGCCATACCACATTAAGGCAGAAACGCAAATGTCAATTTAAATCCCATAGTAGTAGATGTAGTAGAAGCATTAGCAGTAATAGGAGAGATTATGATTCAAAGATATTTTTCAATAAGTGTGATCTAGTGAAACAAATCTAAGAAGAGAAAGATAAAGGTGATGTGGAATTCAAAAGATTAGAATATGAGAGAAGCTAACGAATGGATGCACCTGCGACACTGCAAACGGTTTTCAGCCATGTGGTTCAACATCTATAACTATCGATTACGATTGTCTCGTGGACCCCAACCAGGTAGTGTACATTTACCAACATGACTCAGTCCACTAGTCAGTGACTTTATGGATTTCTGCCATGTTTTGTAGTTTGGCCGCCCCTAGCTTTCCTCCAACCTACTCATAAACCACAAAACATAGCTCGTCGAGGCAGTCGGTGGTTAGGCACAGGTTACACATGTCCCAACCACTTCAACTGATGAAGTTTCAATACTTCATACCTTGATCTGTCATACTTACGTAGTACCCTTTTCGTAACAGCAGCATTGCTTACTCGATAATCCTAAGATAAACAAGAAATGCTTCGGAGAAACCTATGATCAAAAACCAATAACCTACGAATATATTCTACTCTAACTGGCCATGTTTCGCAGCTATAAAAATTCATTTCAACAGTGTGTTACGACGCTTTGATTAAATGAATTATTGAATCGAGTAAGGTAAGGATGGCAGATCAATAGATGAAGAGGTGAAACTACATCAGTTGAGGTGGTTGGGACATGTGTTAAGTATGCCTAACCACCGACTGCCTCGACGAGCTATGTTTTGTGGTGTAGGAGTAGGTTGGAAGAAAGCTAGGGGTGGTCAAATCAAAAAATGGCAAAAATCCATGAAGTCACTGACTAGTAGATTGAGTCATGTTGGTAGATGTAGACTAACTGGTTGGGGTCCGCGAGACGAAAGTCACCATAAAATAAGACGCAGAGAACAATAAATTACTTATTAGTGTATTAGACAATAAAAATTTATCACAGACTGAAATGATCAAGACATAGACAGACACACACACACACACACAAAGCGAGAATAATGATAAAAAAAAAGAGAATACAAGACGATAAGAGTTAACACGATTAAAAATTTTTGCAATACATAAAAAAAATCACGTTTTTTTTTCTTAAAAAAATATAATTTGAATACAAATCATGACAAAATACAATTGCTCACCTTTTCCAATGTAGAAAGCTATGTGTAAAAAAAAAGTTGAATAGAAAAAGAAAACGTTTATCAATATCAAAAATGAAGACAAAAAAAGGAAACGATCAACAAGTGTATCAATGAATATCAAAAATGAAGACAAAAAAAACGGGGGAGAAGGAAACAATCAAACAAGTTTAGTACATAAATAGTTAAATGAAGAACTTTTAGTTGTGTGAGCAGTAGATGAAACAGTTGAAAAATTCAACTTTTTGTTGTAAGGTTCGAGATACATATATATATATATAGCTGGTACGTAAATGTTTGATAAAGACTTTCTGTTAGGATATTCATCCAATATCCTAAGAGAATTATTGGTCAATTCCTATTGGTCAAAATTATGGTCGTTTTAACTGTCAAAGTCAAATACTTCAATGTTGTCTCTTTTTGGTTATCCTGACTATCAATGTCACTTCAAATGTTACTTCCTATTGGTCTTCTTAACTGTCAATGTCACAGAATTCGATGCTGTTTCCCATTCGACCAAAATGTATAAATACGCATTATCTGTAACGTTTTATGATCAGGACCAGGACAAGTACCCGGTCCCGAATCCTGATTCTCTTCTGGATTCGGACCTCGTAATTTCTGGATGATTGTAGAATACAGGTTCTACTTCATATCACGTCTTCTTATTTTTACTAAGTATGGGGGTGGGGATAATCGGATTTGAGTAGCATGCCATGGCGCCGGATCCTCGATCTCGTTTTCCGACTAGGTAAACTCGTAATAGTTCAAGCATATCAAGTTGACGTGTTAACGTGCAGGCGTAACAGTTTGTTAATCTTAAGTCGTCTCAATCACGTCGTTATCCAAGATCTCTTACTGGTTGCTGGAATTTGCGGGCATAACCTTTCTCCCGTTTCTGTCCATTCAGTAATCACAAATGCGCAAAATATGGAGTATCTGGTCACAAAGACGGATTTCGCAGACGTGAGAAACCCTAATCACTTTATCTTATATCAAAACAAATCGACTATGTACACGCTTGATCAAATTCTAACCTCAAATATTTACGCAAATATGCGTCAATCAATTTTCGTTATCACATTGTCACATTCCTGTTTCCTAGGTTACTGTGACCTTTCGAAAAACTTGGCACAAACTTGGTCGGTCAAGCTTACATCCTACTACCGATTGCATAAAGAATGCCTCGAGTATCCCAATCGAAATTTCTAAAAGTATCCGACATTTTGTCAAATTTATTGATCTACTTATCAAATCCGCATGATTTGTTACCGATGAATCGATCAATTTATTGGGCCTCCACTGGATCACAAGTTTTAAAAAGGTTTAGTCAACCATTCAATCTTATTTCCAAGGCAGATTTAAAAACATTCGATCAGCAACTTTATTCAATTATCTCATCCAACCGATCAACAGCTATCCTATTCTCTTATGATGAATAAGTGAAAGCAAACGTTTATCAACGAGTTCCATATCGATCGCAATAAGAGTGCATGATGGAGAGAATACCATTCAGAGTAACTTTGAACCCATTCTCACACAAGGATGTCTTTCCTTTCCTGTAGAAGTGTTTAGAAACAAGGCTCGGAAATCAATTTGGGCTACGAATCTACACAGAAGAAAGGAAGGCTACAAATTTGAGATGTTGCTTTTTATCAAGAGGGAAAGGTAATATAGAGGAGCGGAAGCTAATCAGAGATGGCCGAACAAGAAGATCGTTTGATGGCCGTCAGAAAGATCCTCAAGTACAAAAGTATATCATTAGACTCTTCACTTCTCATTCAGATAGTCCGTTTTGTGGCGGTTAGAATTTATCGCATTCACATCTCGTGCATTGAATTGAATTCTGGAAAAAGTAAACTTACTAGCAAATAAACGTCCAATTGTATTTCCTGCACCAATCGATGAAATAATAAAACCGGAATCATCAATATTCCAATTCATTTCTGCTAATAGATCAGGTAACATTAGAAATGGGATAACTAGTCCTGAATGGAGAAAATGAAATGAAATGAAAACAAATTAGAATTAGAATTTCAATTCTAATTGGTTCTGGTCTTCGGTCAAATTCAATTACACACTTTTTGTATAAATAACTAAGATGAGTGAGTGTTAACAGATAAAGAGACTATGGCGAAAACTATAATGTCCAAAAATTGGAAAATTACGAATTGTAAAAAATCGTATTTACTTGCTTACTTAATAGCAGACAGACAGACAGATACAACGCAGAACTTCGTATGTAAGTACATCAGTTCAGGTTGCCATACTACATCAGCACACAGACGCAACTGTCAGTTCAAATCCAAGTGTGATAGCAATAATATAAGTATTAGCAGTAATGGAGAAGATTAGGGTTCGAAGATGTTATTCAGGAAGTATAATTCAGTAAGATAAATTTGGAAGGAGAAAGATAGAGATGATAAGGAATTGATAAAGGTTAGCATTAGATGGAACACAAACAGTGGATGCACCTTCGTCAATGCAAACGATTCTGAGCTATGTAATTCAAGGACTCTAACCATTGGTGACTTTCGTCTCGCGGACCCCAACCAGGAAGCATACACCATCTACTAACATGACTCAGTTCACTTGTCGGTGACTTCACGGATTTGTGCCATGTTTTGGTCTGGCAGCCCCTAACTTTCTTCCAACCTACTCCTACACCACAAAACATAGCTCGTCGAAGCAGTCGGTGGTTGTGCATTCGTAATACATGTCCCAACCACCTCAACTGATGAAGTTTCACTACTTCATCTATTGATTTGCCATCCTTAACTAGAACTCGTTTCCTAACGACAGCATTGCTTATACGGTTGTCCCACGATACACGAGCAATGCTTCTTAAACATCTATGATCGAAGACTAGTAACCTACGAAAGTCTTCTACTCTTAACGGCCATGTTTCACAGGCATATAGTAGGACGGAGCGAACCGCTGCACGGTACACTCGTCCTTTGGTACTTACTTACTAGCAATTAGGCTGATTCACAAAGATATACACATCGTAGATAAGTTTGTCTATGTGAACAGTACACTTATCTACAATATCCCATCTATACCCGTATCTCATATATCCTCATGCAACATGTGTTCTGTTTAGTCTGCTTAAGAAATCAATCAAAGCTTAGGTGATGTTTAGATGAACACTTTTTATGTGCAAGTCAGTGATATTGTCTGACTGAATGTGAATTTGTAAATTAAATGTCGAATATATAAAATGCCATTAGCCACTTAAACATCAGCACAAAACAGCACATTCATTTAGTGTGAAAACGTTTCAGCGGAAGGATCGATACTGACGAATACAAAGAAATACTTTTATACAACCGAAAATGAAAAATTTACTGAAAATTAATCTTTAGATAGACAGAGTGATAAGTTAGAAATCGAAATTATTCATAATGAATCGAGTAAGCAATATTATATATGTCTACTTAATGAGAACATAGTGAGCATACACGAAGACTTTTCGAATTCTCATAAACTGTAATTCGGTCATTTAAATAAACAGGCGAGTAGCGTAAAGATAAAGCTGTGAATTTTCATAAAGAAGTTTTAATCGTCTCCCCCACAAGTGATCACTTTCAAGATTATTTCGTTCGTCAGAAACTGTGATTGTGCAGTCAGTCAGTCAGATGCAACGTAGAACTTTGTACGTAAGTACATCAGTTCATGTTGCCATACATCAGCACAGAGATATAATTGTCAATTCAAATCCAATAGTAGAAGAGGTAGTACAATGCTCCGAAGATATCTATACTCGAATACTTATAACCTACGAATATCTTCTACTCTCACTGGCCATATTTCACAGCCATATAGTAGGGCGGAGCGAACTGCTGCACAGTACACTCGTCCTTTGGTTAGCAAAAGGATATCTCGTCTGCGCCATAGGTGGCACAGGTTGGCAAAAGCCAATCGAGCCTTCTATATCCGAGCTGAGATTTCGTCAGTCACTAGGCCATCGGCACTGATGAGACTCCCGAGATAAGTGAAGCGGTCTACACGTTCGACTACTTCACTCCCTATCACTAGTTCAGGTGCCATTGCAACCCAGTGTTGAAGCAACATTTTGCATTTCGAGGGGGAAAACTGCATCCCGAACATGCTTGCATTGTTGCTTGAGGTGGTCAGAAGACTCTGCATTTTGTCAGCATCTTCAGCAAGTAGGAATATGTCATCGGAATATTCTAAGTCAATAAGCTAGCCTGCTGGTAAAAGGTCTACTCCTGAAAATTCAGACGAAGATAAGGTTATTTCTAGGAGCATATCTATGATAAAATTAAACAAGAATGGAGAGAGTGGACAGCCCTGATGGACACCATTTGAAGTAAAGAATTCCGGTGACAGTTCGCCAATAATCTCTCACTCGACCAGTGGTGTTCGAGTAGAGTGCTTATATAAGGTTAATGTACTTCTTTGGTACATCTTTCAATGACAGACATTGCCACAAGGAAGCCTAACAACATCAATATCAAGTTGTCAATATAAACGTTGTATACAATGACTGTTGACTGATTGACACAAATGAGGAAACAGTATAATAGTCAGCAAACTGTATGATGTTTCATCAATCCCCAATAATAGACAAAAATTACTTATAACGAATTTTCATGAATATTTTTCTTACATCTTGAGCATAATAGATTAAGGTATTTTTCTATGAAGTGAAATATATATATAAACAAATCGTGAATTGATTAATAACACTGAACAATAACTGAATTAATTCATGATTTTTTTTTTTTGAAATTACAAGCCTCAATTTAACCAACCGAAAATAAATGAACAATTAGAACGGAATCAATATTTAAAAGATATGGCCTGAAATGGGACATTCGAAATGATCAATATAACAAAAAATAATATTGATTTTTATGAGGAATTAAACAGTTGTTCAAAAATATATACATATTTATATATATACGAATCAGAAACAACAAAGAACCTAAGAATAACGTCTTCGAATCTGACGAATCAACCAATTAAAGCAAAAATAAATCATGAACTACTACAGATCAGTCAAATAGACAGTTTACTGTGGTGGTGTTTCGTTCACTGAGCTGGTTGTTTTGGTTGTGGAGCTTTCATTGTTTGTCTTCTGAACAACATCATCAGCACAAACTTCAGATTGTGGAAGTGAAGCAACCAATCAAGATTGAGGTTAGCAGAACAAGCTACAGGTCAAACGTGGAGAAATTCGAATGATTCACTTCTATCTGAAGTTTGTGCTGATAATGTTGTTCAGCGGAAGAACAATGAAAGTTCCACAACCAAAACAACCAACTCAGAGAACAAAACACCACCACAATCATCCACCTGAGCTACAAGTCTTCTCCACCATCTCAAAGACATAGTTTATTCACACTGAACTGTCTTTAATGAAATTAACTATGGGAGCTTATTATAATAAATTGAATCGTACGAAATTGACCAATCAAATTTAATTTTGAAGCTTATTATGACTCTCACTTAAATTATGTTCGATTGAACAAAATTACTGTTGACAATTTCAGTTGATATTATTCACAAATGACTTAACTCTCTTATTTATAACGTTACATCACGAAACAAATGCAAATATTTTACACTATGAAATACAATAAACAATTGGTATTGTTGTCAAATTTCAACTTGCTCACAAACTGATTATTATACATGAGAAACGTGAATAAAATTGAATGATAATATGCATGCTATAAAGATAACATTTTCAAGATTCAATAGTGTTGATTTCAATTTCTATGCCCAACCACCGACGGCCTCGTCGAGCAATGTTTCGCGGTGTAAGAGTAGGTTGGAAGAAAGCTAGGGGTGGCCAAACCAAAACATGTCAGAAATCCATCAAGTCACTGACAAGTGGACTAAGTCATGTCGGTAGTTGTCGAGTACCTGGTTGGGGTTCTCGAGACGAAATTCACCAATAGTTAGAGACCCTGAACGACATGGCTCAGGTACATTCATTTATTGCGTTCTCTCAAATTCAAATCTTGTGAATTCCTCATCATTTCTATCTTTCTCTTTCTAAAGTTATCTCACTGAATTATACTTCTCAAATAATATCTAATAATCCTAATCTCTCCGATTACTGCTAATACCTCTACTACCTCCACTACTATGGGATTTGAAATAACAGTGTGGTGCGAGCTACTTATAAGTAGTATATGACGTGAGTGAGTGTCAACGTAATGTCTGGCAGCAGAAGATGGGGGAAGATCAAGAAAGGAAGAGTTAGAAGAACACAATGGAATTTGTATTAAACGCATGAACAGTGAGTGACAATGGATTGTTGATGTTTTGCAACAGGAACAGTCCAGTTCGATATGATGAACTGATATTTTGCAAATGAACGATTTACGATATGGTTTTCCGATTTTACTGAGTAACTCTGTAATTTTCGTTTAATACAATTCGGTTGCCCTCACCTGTGTTCTCCTTCACTACAACAGTTGCGTCTCTGTACTGATGCGGTATGATAGCCTAAACTCATGTACGTATGTACGAAGTTCTACGTTGTAACTGACTGACTAGATTGGTTAATGTAAATAAACTTATGAAAAGTTTAATTAATGCCAAAAATAAAACAATTTATTGAAATAATAAAATCTAAGTTTTATCACTTACCAAGCATAGCTAACATACTTGACAAAAGAAAGAATAAAAATGTTATATTTGATAATATTTTCAATGATAATAAATCTTGCATTAATATTCCAATTGGATTACATGTCCAACAATAGAATAATACATTGCCACAACATAATTTATTATGACAATAAATATTGAAACATTTTGAACAACATGTATCATTAGTTTCATCCATCAATAGGGTATCACGATTATCATCATTCTCTTCTAAATCATCAGCATCAGCGTCATCATCAATCATCACATCGCCGACTTCCCCGATTTCAATATCTACTCCATAATCAATGAGTTCATCTTGGAGTTGTTGTTGTTGTGATAGTGGCGGTGGTTGTACATTGACATTGGTTGTTGTTGTAGTACTATTACTACCATAGACATTATTGATTATTCGATGACTTAGACCAAGTTGATCAGATATGACAGGCGTAGCGAAGATGTCTACATTTTCTGGATTATTTGTACCTGTTGTAGAATCCATTCTATCTATATTTCCTCCATATTGATTGATAATTTGACTACCCTAAATGAAGTGTTTATGATATAGAGGAAGAAAGGAAACCACTATTATTATTATTATTATCATTATAATTCATATGAATATTACTCACAATTTTTATGTACATCACAATCTCAGTGTGTGTGTAGAAGAGGAGGAAAACATTGAGAGAGAGACAGAGAGGGAGGATCAATGAAAATACAAAACTGTAAGAAGACCACCACCGACAATGGTGGTCGGTGGGTGACATGAATGATGAAAAGACAAGGTAATGATGAATGCGTGTGTGTGAGTGAGTGAGTGAGTGTGATTTCGATCAACACTTGACTATAATAATATAGTAAGTGAGAGAGAGAGAGACAGAGGATCAGTTGAAAAGTTAAAAATTTTCCATCTACAACTTTGTACATAATAATAATAATAATAAACTATACTGAAAGGGTGTTTGAAATCAGTTCGAGTGAAATTTCATGGTTCAAAGAACAATCATCATCATCATCGTCATCATCACCATTACCGAATGTGGTACATTTCAATCGTTTGATTGTTGTTGTTGCTGCTGTTGTTGAGTGTTGACAGACAATCAACAAGATAGAACCAGATGATGATGCTGATGCTGATGACGACGACGAAGATAAACCAACGACATAAACACAAGAAAACTATGTGCAGAATAATATCAGAAAATCTAGGGAACTAATTGAAAAGAAACACACACATACACACACCTATCTACCTGTGTGTACGTGTGTGTGTGTGCGCGCGCGCAGGTATGCACCAATAACAATACATACATACATATTCAATAGTGAAATAATAATAGTCGTCACAACGATAAGGACAATGAAGAAGATGACGACGATGGCGGCGGCGACAACGGTGGTGACAAGAAGAGAGCATAAAGCAGTGATTGTTTCACAAAAAAACCCTCAGCATACACAACATAAATATTTAAATGAATTCAATGGTAACATTTAAAACAGTGTGATCAAATCAAAGTAGTAAAACATTCTCCTAATTTTACATTCAATAGTTGGATGTTTAAACAAAAAAAAAAACTGGAGGGATTTTTAAAAAAAATACTCGTACAAAAAAGGAAGTGATAGTTAGTTCATTTATCAAATACAAATGTATGTTGTATTTGGTTACAAGTCACAAGTTATTTATGAAAAAAGACTAAAAATGCTGTACAAATGCTTGAACTTTATTTAGTAGAAGAAACAAGAGTGAAAATGAAGGCATTTTGGTTGAAATTTAGGTGGTTCAACGACCAAGTCACTAGTGAAAGTGTAGTGAGAGCTGCTAATCAACGCATCTGAGTAATTTCATCGAAAATATACACATTCTAGAGAAATTTTTTTTAGATGTTTTGTCCACAAAAAGCACGTAAATTGAGAAGTACTTGAAAAATCTCGGCTATTTCCTAGTAGATCAGTGTGACTTCAGTAACGGCCCTGGGTTTTGTAAAAATAATGCAAGATCAAGTCGACAGTTGACTTCTACTATAGATAAAATATTCGCTATGTTCCACTTGCCGATTCACTACGAATGAAGTCAATTCAAGGAATTATGGATTTATACGACTCTCTAGTAGAAAATTTGATTGGATATCAAAAATTGAGATTTCGAAACTGACTACTCTTTGTTTAAATTTCTACAGATTTATTTCACATTCAACTGAAATTAAATAAAGTGGATTACATTGTTGAATAATGAAACACAAGTTTGATAGCTGGATATGTTACTGATTGGTCTTTCATCCAACGGTATATTTTTATATAATCATTGTGCCTAAAATTTGTTCATTCTTTTTTCTAAATTTCCTTTTATTCCCATTATTGATTTTATTTTTTTTTACCAATAATGTTGTTATCCTCGTCACTTGATATGCTTGAAACTATTACAGGTTCACCTTAGACGATAAATGAGAACAAGACAAATGAACCAGTGACACGATAGGACACTCTGATCCGTTGGCCCAACTAACTGAAGAAAAAGGCTTGATATGGCATAGAAAGTGTATTCTACAAGTACCCAGCAAATACAATGATCTCAATGTTAGGATATTCATCTAATATCCTAAGAGAATTATTGGTCGATTCTTATTGGTTAATTCCTACTTGTCAATTTTATGGTCATCCTAGATATCAATGTCACGTGATCCAATGTTGTTTCTTACTGGATGTCCTGACTATCAATGTCACTTCAAATGTAACTTCCTATTGGCCGTCTTAACTGTCAATGTCACAGACTTCGATGCTGTTTCCTATTCGACCAAAATGTATAAATACGCATTATCTGTAACGTTTTATGACCAGGACCAGGACCAGGGCTTGGTCCTGGATCCCTAGTCCGGGATCCTGATTCTCTTCTGGATTCGGATCTCGTACTTTCTGGATGCTTGTAGAATACACGTTCTACTTCATATCATGTCTTGTCTTCTTTTACTAAATATGGGGGTTGGGATATTCGGATTTGAGTAGCATGTCGTGTCACCGGATCCTCGATCCTCGCTCTTGTTTTCCGACTAGGTAAACTCTTAATAGTTCAAGCATATCAAGTTGACGTGTTTATGGGCAGGCGTAACACTCAAGCACACATCATAGAAACTTCCTTGGAAAAGTCACAAAAATAGCACACTAAAATAACACATCAACCAATCACAGCCAAGGATTTTCCTGACGGGAAATGTGTTCTCAAGTTCGACCGATCACCCTCTGAATCAAATCCAAAATACGGCATTCATCAAGTGAGTTCTGGGGATCTAATATCCCTAACAATTATATCCTGAATATGTCAACGAACAACATGAACAATAACAATGGGCATAAATACAAATCTGGATGTAAGTTATGCATTCAGGTCGTATAATTTTAAGATTAAACTATAAACTCTCAGGTTGCTTTGACAAACTCGAGGTTTTTAATAAAAAAAGAGTACAACTTCTAATAATACATTGTCAAACAATCAGTCAGTCAATCAATCGCAACGTAGAACTTCGTATGAACGAATGTACATCAGTTCATGTTGCCATACGACGCTAACACAGAGATGTAATTGCCAATTCAAATCCCATAGTAGTAGAGGTAATAAAGGTATTAGCAGTAATCGGTGAGAATAGGATTTGAAGATATTATTCAACAAGTAGAATCTAGTGAAATAAACTTGAAAAGAGAAAGTTAGAGATGATGAGGAATTCAGAAGTTTAGGATTTGAGAAAACATAAAGAATGAATACACCTGCGCCGTTGCAAACGGTTTTGAGCCATGTCATTCAAGGTTTCTAACTATCGACTGTTATCATTTTCGCGAGCCCAAACCAAGTAGTCAACACTTATCGACATGACTCACTCCACAGTAATACATTGTTCAAACTCACGATTATTAGAAAAAGGAAACTGACACAAAAAAAACACTAAACCATTATAGATTTGAATAATAGGAAATCAATCGTAGCTGTTCAGTTTACATAGATATCATCACCAAGGTTTAACTAGATCATTTCAAATAAACTGATTATTGGATAGATTATTAGTTGTAAAAAGAATGACATCGCGTGTTGTCACGGGTGTGAGTGTGGATATCACTTCCCGGCTGCTCACACCGTGGAAGGGTGTTCCTTGAAGAACCTGAAAAAGCAGGTAGATTAGTGTTGGTCTTAGAGACCTAGGAGCGTAAACGAATAGCCCAAGGGACAGCTGCTTGAGGCCAGTCACGCATGAACTTTTTATGAGACGTTTTTCAAGTTAGCTACGCTCTTGTTTAGAAGGCCTTACTGCAGGAGATGGAAATCAGTGAGGTAAGGTAAGGTGTGACATTTTTAGAGTCGACTTTCATTAACCCCTTCTTTCCTTGTGAGAAAGCAGCATTGCTGAAGATGCTGTTTATCCGAGGGAAACACCTTACTGCTGTCACAACCCTCTACAGTCAGCAGTATGACTTCACCCTCAAACCTTGAATGATGTTATATTTGTAATACATGTCAACGAACGGAAAAAATCAATACATTCTGAAATTCCATGACTCAACAATGCATACAAATTCTTCAGAGAATAAATGAACAAAAATAAATTAAGTCAAGTTTTTTTAGTAATACAAAGAAACAAAACAAAAAAATCTCTTAAAATAATCAATCAAAAAAGCAGATCCGATTAAGTCAATAGCAGCATATCAATCACTTCGGTCACGTATTTTGTCCTAGTTGAAACTGATGCACATATGTGCGCCTAGCGTTGAGGTGTTCATATATTGAAGAGTGAAAGTATATGTTTATCGATTTCTACGACAACACGTTATTTACTAACGCAATGATTCTATATATTATAGCTATATCAGGATAATTACGCATGCACGTAAAACACGTCAATTGATACGCTTGAACTGTTCTGAATTTACATTAGTCGCAAAAACAAGAGCGAGGATCGAGGATCCGGCAACACTACACATGAATAAGATTTGATATGAGGTAGAACATGTATTCTACAAACATCCAGAAAGTACAAGATCCGAGTCTAGAAGACATAAAGCATACCGGACTAAGGATCCGAGTCTGTTGGGGATTTTAGATCCCCCAAACTCGCTTGATAAATGCTCCGATTTTGGATTTCACGTGTTTGCGAGCATAAGCTATTCAGTAGACTTTGAGATTTCATTTCCCACCAGGAAAATCCATGGCTGTGATTGGCTGCTGTGAATTTTAATGTGCTATTTTTGTAACTGTCCCAAGGACGTTTCTATGATGTATAAATAAACGAGAGTTGTGTGCTTGATTGTATTGTGATTGCTGGGTGTTTGTAGAATATACTTTCTACGCTTACAAAGTCTTCTATCCTCAGCTTGGGATTCAAGGTAGCCTATCTGGACGCTAGTAATTGTCTCGTTCGCGTTTATCGACTAAAGTGAACTCGTAATAGCTTCAAGCGTACCTAGTGACGAACATAACAGGGTCCGAGTCATAAAACGTTACAACTAATACGCATTTATACAGTTAATTAGAATAGGAAACAACATTTGAAGTGAATATTGATAACTAGGACAACCATAATAATGATCAGTATGAATTGACCAATAAATAGAATTAAACTACTTAACAAAAATAATTTTCCGTTTTAGGATATTTGATGAATATCCTAAGATTTATTTATATACTACTTACCAATGGTACAGGGAATGATGATACATTATGTACAATAGATTGTTGAGGAGTAATCAACGGAATCGATGGACATGGCGCCGGTGGTATAAATTGATTAGTAAATAAATTGGCTGAATTAGCTACACTTAAATTTGTTTGACTACAATGCTAAATAAAAAAAAAAAATTTAAAAGAAAATAAAAAAAAACACATTGAATGTGAGTTATCATCTAATAGAATGTGAATTAAATATTTTCATTAAGTGATCATATAATTTGTGAATCAATTTTTATAATATATACACATATAACTTGTGGTGCGAGCTACTCATAAGTAGTATATGACGTGAGTGAGTGTCAACGTATTGTCTGGCAGCAGAAGAGGATGGGGGAAGATCAAGAGAAAGGAAGAGTTAGAAGAACACAATGGAATTTGTATGAAACGCATGAATAGTGACAATGGATTGATGTTTTGCAACAGGAACAGTCCAGTTCGATATGATGATGAACTGATATTTTGCAAATTAACGATTTACGATATGGTTTTCCTATTTTACTGAGTAACTCTGTAATTTTCGTTAAATACAATTCGGTTGCCCTCACCTGTGTTCTCTCTCGTTCACTACAAACTAATTACATTTAAGTTTTATTTCAATTACTTACTAACTAATCATAGAAATACATACACAGTATGCGACAAACTTGTAGTGTGTGTGTGTGTGTGAGTACACATATATATCGAGTCCATATGGTTTGTACCAGCGTTTGTAGAAATTAAACCATACTTTTCGAGTGATTGACACATCGTTTATTCGCTAATACCTTTGGTTTACTTTTATTTGAGTGTCTGATTGCATACTTACTTCGTTTAATATATATGTCCAGACTACTGAAAGCCTGACTATAAATACTTAGTCATATCTCATCGCAATGAGTTGGCTCACACACCTTCTCCACTTCACTCATTACATTACTTTGACACTTAAATAAACTGATCCAAATGAATCCGTATTCGGATTCTTATTACCTCCCCTGACACAAACAAGTTTTCACTAAAAGAATGGTAAGATTTATTTCATAGCATAATAGCTAATCAATCGTCCAAATTGGAGTCAGACTACAAGGCAACTCAAAACTTTATTTTAATCTTAGATTACATTGAAACAATGAACTTTTCAACTGAGTTGCTGTTTGAATGATAAATAATAGAACTGTTAAAACAATGGTATCAATTGACAAAAAAAGTTATTTGCTTTTTAGTAATTGAGTTACAAAACATTGTTATTATTATTTTTACGTTTAACATCATTAAAACGCATTTTTTTTTCAAATTTCATAAGAGATAAAAATAGTCTAAAAGAATTGTTATTAAGTGCAAATATGACAAGAATTTTAAACTATTTAATAAAAGTATTTCATATGTAATAGACTTGTTGGAATGGTAATAATAATAATAATAAAATTATTTACTACCACACAGTAGTAGAATGCAATTATTTGTAAATAAATATTGTATACATGAGAATAGATTTCATTTGTCTATGTAATTGACTATGCGTTGTTCAACAGAATATTATAATAGAAATGACTTGTCCATAAGATGTGAAACATTTTCGCTAGAGCATTTGTTACAGTATGATGTGCTTGTATGTTTAAAAAAGGCTGGTGATATTGTTTATAACATGGTGGTTTGAAAACGTTTGACTTACCTCATCTCGGTTACACATTCCCATTGTCAGTAATAAGTACGAAGTAAGCACCCAAAAAAAGGCTGTGTACGGTTAGCCTCTAGTAGGTCAGTCAGTCAGAGGCAACGTAGAACTTAATACGTAAGTACAACAGTTCATGTTGCCATACCACATCAGCACAGAGATATAATTGTCAATTCAAATCAAATCCAATAGTAGAAGAGGTAGTAAAGGTATTAGAACTAATCGGAGAGGTTAGAATTAGAAGATATTATTCAAGAAGTATGATTCGGTAGTCGACAACTACCGACATGGCTCAGTCCACTCGTCAATGACTTCATGGATTTCTGCCACGTTTTGGTTTGGCCGCCCCTAGCTTTATTCCCAGCTACTCACACACCACAAAACAAAGCTCGTCGAGGCAGTCGGTAGTTAGGCATACGCAGCACATGTCTCAACCACCTCAACTGAAGAAGTTTCATTACTTCATCTATTGACCTGCCATTCTTACCTAGCACCCGTTTCCTAATAACAGCGTTGCTCACTCGGTTGTCCCACGATATATGAGCAATGCTTCGTAAACACCTATGATCGAAAACCAATAACCGACGAATATCTTCTACTCTCACTGGCCATGTTTCACAGCCATGTAGGGGGATGGAGAGAACTACTGCGCAGTAGCCTCTAGTAGGTAGGTGTCTCTGAAACTCTGTAATCATACTCGAGCGTTGCTATGAGTATTTTCTAATCTAGCAGTAAGCTTTGAATATAAGTGATAGGAAATCAGATGATTCATAACCACAATCTGGGAATAAGTGATATGTCAGTCGGACATTGTAGTAAAGGTAGTAGAAGTATTAGCAATAATCAAAAAGTTGGATTCTCGTGATATGTGAACTGAATATTCAATTATATGAAACAATAAATTCTTATTTTCAGTTAGAGTTTTGGAGATTTGTGTTTTGTTACACATTTGAAATCATTAATCAATATCATTGTTAGACCACTAACATTAGAAACCTGGAAGCAATGAAAGACGGCCGTTTTGTCCTGGTATGGGACTCATCAGTGACAGTGCTCATCCACGACTCCTGCACCTCGCAGGATTCGAACCCAGGACCTTCGGTATTGTGCGCGAATGCCTAACCATCGTACAACTGGGCCGTCATCCAACGGTGTTAATGTCTAACTCTGATTGATCTAGGGATTTCGCGCGACCTCACCCATTTGTCTTTGTTAGTTACTGCCTACACCCAACAAGGTTGAACTCCATTGGTCACGTCTTCCTCACGAAGCTAGTCACCAGTCAGAACATGTTACAATATTTTCAGTTAAAGTATTAGAGATTTGTATTTTTACACAATGATTGATTGATGATTTCAAATGTGTACAAAAAATTCTTAGACTGTTCTAACAATGATACATACATGAAATATTTATCTTATTCAGCATACATATAATGAACTTTTTCGGATGCCAACAAACAAACAAAAAAATAATGTCACCGGTATAAATGAGATTAAAATAGAATAATCATGATGTCTAATATTAAATAAAAATATGAAAAGTAAATTCTTTGCTGTACATATTTCTGTCAATAAAGTGAAGAACATTAGAATGTCTACTATTTAAGTAATAACTAACAACCTTTGACATGATGATAATATAAAAAACAGAAATGTCTAGACTGACTATATATGAGACCAAAATCAAATTATTGATGAAATCGTATTTACATTCATCATATTTCAATTATTAAAAAATTTGGTATGTGATACGGTGATTGATAAGCAATTGATCAAACTTTTCATTTGTAATCAACAATCCTCAGCTGAATACATCAAAAAATCTAATAACAAGCATATTCATGCATCGCAGTGAACATATTACATTCCCAACCAAAAAATACGCCAAGTTCAAATCAACATGCCAACAGTTTTCTAACTTCAATTTGTGTTACAGTATTTATTGTCTCTATCAAATGAGGTGTTATTTTTCTTAGTATGAGCACTGATACCACTGCTGTGCCAATTAATATTTTAAAAACAAATAAATATAGACAAGACTAAAACTAGTGTGCGTGTGTGTGTGTATGTATGGAAGCAAAAACAAATCGAGTCATTATGTTGTGTAATTTATTACTTAATTAATTAATTAACTGTGTAATTATGTTATCAACCAATAGATTATAATACATATATATGAAGAGTGATAATTCAACCAAATACAAAATTTTCTTCTCAATTGCATCCTTTTTATCAAAGCAACATTGAACAATTGCTTTTACAATGATTTTATCAATATTATGTTCATATTTAAACATTTTATCCAATGCTGTTTGCTTAATAGACTGACTATCTAATTAGACTTTTTTCAACCAACTAATTAATGTACAACAGTTGATGAATAGTGAAGATGATACCAGTAATTGAAAGCGATTGAAATTATTGAATATTGAACAGAGTACCTGTCATGTAGTATGTTAATTCAATACAGATGAAGAGCTGCAAATTGCTGCAATCAAGTGACATTAAATAAGCTAACTAGATAACAAATTTGTGTGTCGATGAATAACTAGTTTCTTTTTGAAGAGTATCCCTTTACCTGTACTCAGTCATCGATTGTCACCTGTTCCCAAAAACCGAGACAACAGTATCAATCGATGATAATCGATGATGTACACGTTACAACAGTACAAAGTAATTAAAACTTTGAACTGAAGCATCATTGTCTGTGTTGTCTTGATCACTGATTAACAGTTTTCTATCTATGAGATCTTAAGATTCCCATATATCAATCACTGATCCTTGATCAAATCCAAAACTATGATGAATGATTGCTTTTAGTAAATAGTTTATATCAAGTATTATCACTTCACAATGAAAACTAACCACACACATATCATTTTTAAGGATATAGTTACGAAATGTTGTACCGGAGGAAATGGCAAGAAAACTGGTATACACTAAACATGGTTTGATCAAGACAAATAAACTCA